GTGATTGCTGCCTTGTGCTGCCTATTTTAAGAAATGTTTTGATGTAAACTAGGTTACGGTGAAAGGAGATACAATAAAATAATAAAGACAACCTTGATATTATACACTTCACAACAAGGCACCTCTGACGATGCGGCGCTCCCTCTGCATAGTATTGTGAGCTCAAGGCCCCTACACAGGTCTTGAACCCACAACCTCTGATTGGAGATGCGAGTTCTACTAACTGAGCCAGGCTCGAAGAGGAAACTTGAAGAGGAAAAAGTTGCAACGATAAGGGGAAAGAGCGGGGGAGTGTGACTGATTGGGTAGCTCTTCCAAAGAGCAGGCACAAGCACAATGGGCAGAATGGACTCCTTCTGTGCCGTCATATTCTATGATCTATGTATCTCAACAAACCTATCCAACACTGACTCCATGTCTCCGATGTCCTTTCTATAACACAGTGCTAAGAACTACATACTACTCTCTCTATCTCTAGCCTAACATGTTTTATATAAATGTAACATCACATCCTTGCTTTTATATTCAATGCCCATATATTGTGTAATCTATACTGATAGTTTATTTAAATAAGTACATAAGTATTGCCTTGACATTCATAGGAATGCCGAATAGATAGCTTCCTACAGTCACAACAACATTCCTCAACAGCTACCAGCACTATGTACCCAAACAGCAAGGTAGTTCCACTCTCAATACATCGTCTGAGTCCAGTTAGAGGTCAAAATACTTTGTGAAACTTCCTTTCTACTGTGCATTAGGCCAGGAACACTTGTTGATCCAGATGACCCGAATGAGAAGATGTATGCACTTTTCCATGGTGGAATTAGGACCTAGGTGGATAATGGCATTGTGGCCACTAGCTGCAGAACCATAACCCAGCCAGTCACTATAGTCACCATGAGGCACAGGCAAGAAACTGCAGGAGAATACAAATCTCCTTTCACTGTAACCTAGTTTACATCAAAACATTTCTTAAAATAGGCGGCACAAGGCAGCAATCACATAACACTAATTGGTTAACACGGGAGTAAACTAAATAAGTTTCAAACTATGTCTGTACATTGTGGCATGTACATTATATGACAATATACATTGTTGCACAGACTCATTTAACAGAGTTTGCGGTGAGACAAAAGTGGGAATGATTAAACTGCTCTGAAGTCTATCTTTGACTGGGTGTCATAGGTATTACTCACAAAAAGAAAAATTCAAATGAAACAAAAACAAGCATGTATACAGCAACCTTCACACGTCTCGGGTTGCGTCTCGGAAAGCTCTTAAAAACGCAACAAGGAATTATCCCGCTAACCAGATTTTATTGGGTGTTGCAGCATTTTGTATCTCTGGTAATTCTGACAATCGGTTTTCTGAGAACCCAAGGTGAAAAGCCAAGGCCTGTTGTGGAGGAAGCTGCCAAGGTTGAAAGGAGCCGCAGAGAAAAGATAAGATAAATCAGAAAGTCGTGGTTAGATGGTGCCAAACTTATATATCAGAAGGTTGCCGATCACAGGTGATGATTGAGCGAGGGAAGGAGTTCCACAGTCTTTAGATCCTTGAAGAATAAGTGAGAACAGACGGTGGGATGAGTTTTCATTTCAACAAGTTGAGAATCCAGGGAAGAAGCAGAGCTTTGACAATATGGAGGTGGATTTGGTTCAGCAGTAATGGGAGCATCACTAATGATTGTATTCTACCACCAGAAGTCCAGACTTTTTCTCCTGCCCTTATGTGCTGTGCCCCTTGTGCCAAGGCTCAACCATTAATCCTGACACTGGCAGGAGAGGTCCAGGCCACAGGTGGGAGGCCAGATGGTACTATCTATCCAGTTTGTAACCGTCATTGCAGGTGACGGGGTTAAACAGAAGCTTACCACGTTCCACTGCTGTCAAACACAGCAAGATCACCGGGAAAGGAACCTGTCTCTGTACCATAAACAACCTTGAAACAAGTGTCCAATTTTATTTAGGGGATTGTTGGCCAGGACACTGGGAGAAACTCCCTTCTCATTTCAAATAGTGCCATTTTATCAACAAAAAACAATTTCTGAGACCTTGATATGCACATAATATCTACCTCATTTCACTGCAAAACAGTCACTACACTGAAGTCATTGCTATAGGGCACTTAAAGACACCTCAATGCTTTAGGTACTATAAATGTTCTTTAGTATCATTATAGTCAATGGTCAGCAAATCTGAACGCTGCCTCCCGGTATTGGTGTGTTCTTAATAAAGGTCCCTTGTATCCCATGTGCTTGGATTGATGACTTATTTTGATGGAGGTGACAGTGTGTCAGGGCCTGATACCAGCAGCCCAGAATCCACAGTAAATTCAGAGGCTGACTACGGCAGATACAACGCAGCAATCCTTCATGTCTGCAGCTTCAAAAAGGGCCTGCTTTCTCCTTAATGCTTTGTATGGGGAAATAATTTTATCACCACCTTTGGAAACCAGACACAAAATTGGCACAAGAAGGGAAAAAGAACTTCAAAAAGCAAGAAGCATAAATCTGCTAACAAAGCAGTCAGTCCTTCTCCCAGGTGGTCTGACAACATTTCTTTGGTGGATTATTTATTGATACGCACTAAAATGATTACCCAGCACATCTCTGCTTTTCCTCTCCTAGCCAATTTTTTCCTTTCTTCTAATGGTGTTTGATTTCATTTTCTTCTACCGAGGACAAGGATTCACAGATACCAAATCACCCTCTGTTACCTTGCCCGCATTATTTCTTCACTTGCGAGCTTTGATAGTAAGCGCTGGCAAATATTCGACCGTGGGTTCTGCTGAATTGGCATTTTTAAAACAATATAGTAATATTAATTTTTGTCATGAGGGATTAAAAAAGTTGTCACTCCATATATAATATATATAAATAATTTGTATCTATATTTAGAAACTAACCATATAAGGGATGAATTTCATTTAATTACCTATATTTTGTGTGCTTTTATATCGCATTGCTCCACACTATTGCATTCCTTTCCAGCAGCAGAGCTTTGCACACTGTCCCAGCAGCCAGTGAAGCTGTTATTTCACAGTGGACATAGATCCGATTTATCATTTGAAATGACCATTCTTAAAGGGGTTTGCACTATAATGTTCATTATCCATATAGTAAGTATTCATTGTTCATTTTTAACAGCTTCACTAAAAAAACACAATCTTGCTTTGCAGCTTTATGTTGAAAGAACGTTTTATTCCTTTTTTTGGTCTGTGTGCATTTGAGAAATTTGACCAATAATGAAACATAATAAAATGAATAATAATAATAATCCTTGCATTTGATATAGCACCTTATCATGTCTTCCAGACATCTCAAAGAGCTTCACAGAATATACTGTAAAGTGAATTGACTGTGCATTTTGTGGGTGAAACACGGCAGCCAATTGTGCACAACAGTGTCCCTCAAACAGTTGTAGAATTTAGTTCCAAAATTATTAGTTTGTTTTAATTTTTCTTTTTTTAAGAGATTATTACCCCCGGCAAAGCTATCTGCCAATCGACTAACAACCAGGTTCCTACTTAGTGCTAGGTAAACAAAGGCGTGTGGAATAAGGAAACTTGCCTAACGTTTTGCTCTGCCCGACAATCAATCCCAGGTCCTCTTGTTTGCAAGGCAAGGGCACTAACCACTTTGCTACAGGACTCCACAAATTCCACCTCTTTTCTTTTAGCACGAAAGCCACCATTTTCAATACCAACTCACTTGATGTGCTCTGAACTAGCGATTGGAAGGTGTACACAGATGGTCCAAAATGAGCTACTAGTGCCATATAGTGAACCATACCATTAAGATCAGATTTCTATTTGAATCAATTACAGTAGACCCCTGTTATAATGCACTTGGTTATAGAGTGGGTCCACTTACAGCGCAATTTGGGTGTGAACCCAGACATTTATTTACCCAAACAATCCAAAATGACCGATTTCCAGGTCATCAGTTTATCACCAATGCAAATGTTGACCGAGGATCATGCCCATTATTACATTAGCTGGGATTTTATGAACTCCAGCCCTTTATAACAGGACTCTACTTCTGTTCTGCTATCCTATTTACTCTTCGGTCCAACACCTTGGGACGTCCTCCCGACATGAAAGGCCCTTTTTATATGTAATTTTATTTGTTTGTTAACCTGAGACTTGTGAAATGGCAGGGGTCTTTAATCTAGGCAAAGTATTGTAAAAGGACACCAGGGAGATAGCACACCCCATTTTAGTTCTGCGGTTCCCATCACAGTGAGTTCCTTATCTAAGGTCACTTAAGGAGCTCATTTTATGGAGACCACAGAACAAAACAGCTGTCACACTTCACTGCACTAGAGAAACCTGTTTCTGATGAATAAAAATCCAACATTAGTCATTAAAGTAGACCTCCTGTAAAATTAAATTCTCCTTTAAAATCTACAGATTTTCTTTCTACCTCCCCCTTCCAATTGTACTTCTTTCCTTATTCAGAGAACTGTTAGAAGAACACACTTTGGGACTGGTTTCTGTTGTCTGAGTCTGACTGTTTGTATGTTAGACCTTGAAGCTTCTGGACCTGAAACCTCTGTGGCGTTAGCCTGAATGTAGGTCACGCTGACTTGCGAGCTATTGGCTCCAGCCCAAGATCACCTCGTATCAGAGGTCTTGTGAGGCTGAGTAACACACATGGGGATGGATCACTGTAGAAAATACAGTTTACATCGCGAGGTGGTAGGAATACTTTGCTGAGGAGCACTTTTTCATCTGTGTAGCCAAAGCATTCATTCTGATTTTCAGCTCCGAAGAATACATTTGTTCCAGGACACCGGTCTCCAAACACTCCGGTCATCCCCAGCAGGCAGTAGTGGTGGTTGTTGAATGTTGTTTCTTCATCAAAAAACACTTTGTTAGCTTTTTGGAAGATTGGACTGAGTATGAAGCCAAACCGAGTCGAGCGCGGTGAATAATATTGTAAACTTCTGTAGTAAAATTGTTTTACTGATGGGGCTATCTCTTGCTGTATGTTACAGGCGGACTGAACAAGTGTGCCGACCTCACTCCTGGCATTCTACAAAACTAGTGGAGCACCAGCCAGATTCCAGCATGATGCAAATATCTCAGGGCACGGTCAGCACTCCTTGGCACCAACCCTACCATTCCAGGTCAGTCAGAGTCCAGGGCATTGTCACAGCCACAAACAAATCTCCCAGACACACAGACACTTTCCACACAGAAGGAGGCCATTCAACTCATCACATCTTGTTTCCTTCTGTCCTGCAACCAAAAGGAGCGATTGAGGTTTAAATAATAGCAAATCTTTTAACATTCTTTTTTGGGGGGTTTGGGAAGCGACTGCTGACAGTGCAATTATTTTACAGCTGTTTAATGCTTCTAATATAGGTAGGGTGCTGTAAAAGTGCAAGCTGTTGTTGTTGGCAGAAATGTCATCTTTTAGGTTTCTTTGTTTTTTCATGTTGTAAGTACATTTTTCCTCTCCCCACTTCCAAACGCTTATTTTTTTCCATTCCAGTCCTAAAGGCACTGACTCCCACTGAGTTTTGACTCCACAGAGTCAGCCACCTGAGTGGAGCTTACACACTGTTATTAGTCATTCAGCTATGAGGGCATCACACAGATGGACAAGTGCACTGGGATGCACGATGCATGATGCAGAGACACACCGATCCTCGCACAGATGTGTGGGTACACAAATGCAGGCAGGCCCACAACTTACAGAAGGGGTGTATATGTGTGCACATCTGTATATAATCCTCTTGGAATTACTAAACTTAAACCGTGTATTACATCTTAACATGATCCAATTGAACCTGGAAAGTTTGCTTTCGTTATAGCAAGACACTTCTTGATACTAGTGGTATAATGGGTTGCTTTCCATTGAATTAAAGCATCAGGAAAGACCAAAGTAATTTAAATATCTTGAAAATTCAGGTTCTTGTCAGTTATACCTGGTGTGGGTTCGTTTTTTTTTAGGATTGAACGCAGAAAATAACTTTACCAGAGGGGTACTTCCCAATGTATTAGTTAGAACTTAAACAGGATATATGTGAGTAATATAACTACAAAGCTTTACTGTGCTGTCATACATTACATGTAAAGTAAAAGGCAGCTGTTGTGCTTGTAGGGTTATGAGAAAAGTTATGAACAATCATGCGAAACCTAAGCGAGGACAGGAGAGATGACCTCATTCTTCAGTCATGTAACCAAGTTGGTGAGATGCCATCTCTAGGGGAGGGGGGGAATGGTTTCTCTATTTTGATTAGATTTTCTCGCGGGGAGGGTGGGCGGAGAGAAATGAATGTGCCCAATCTAGTGTGTCTGAGGTTTGTGCTTTGCATGCGCACATTATTCACAGATTACCTAAATGCTAAGCATTGTTTGCTCAGGCGTGGGCCCTTCCTGCTGCTGTGCGCGTATTTTGGCAAGAGACTTGCATCAATGTGCTTGCTAGGTTCCCTCTCCACCGCTGCTGTGATGACACAGTGTCATGCCCTCGCATTCACTTCTCTCACAGGAGCCACAGGTATAAGCCACTGAGCTTCAGTGGAAGCAGTTGTCAACAATAACAACAACAAGGTGCAGCTTCTGCGTAAGTGCCTGAAGGACTAAATGAAAGCTGTGTGAGTGTATATCTGGCTGTTGGGGGGGAAGGTATTACTTAAATAAAAATCAGACGAAGCAATAACAAAATCCTCACTTCTTGTGAAAGATGTAGATAATGAAAAGAGGTTTTTATTTGGCAGGTGATTCTTTATTATTATTAACATTTTATAAAAAGAAGTCCGAAAGTTATTACGAAGGTTAATACATCATAACCAGAATGTGCCCCACTCCTGATAAGTATAATATGTTTCCGTAATGAAGGGGAAAGAAAGCTTTGAGTCAGAGTTTTCTGGGCAAAGTGTATCCACTGAAAGAATGAAAGCATTGTAAAAGCACAGGATCTCTCCCCGATCCCCTGAGAGAGAAGCCAGATTCAATCCCAGTCTGCTGAATTGGCTGATCTCAGTCAGGGTCTTAATCTCAGAGTCTCTTGGTTTGCAACTACTAATCCTTCCTCTGAATTAATAATAATAATGATCCTTGCATTTGATATTATCTTATCACATTTTTAAGATGTGTCAAAGCACTTCACAGAATATACTGTAAAGTGAATTGACTGTATATTTTGTGGGCGAAACACGGCAGCCAATTGCGCACAGCAATGACCCACAGTCATGGATTGAGTGACCAAATTATTATTATTTATTTATATTGGAGCGAGAGCTTTTAACCATTCTGCCCCACTCTTGAGAACTCTATCCCTCTGACTCACTCCCTTCTCTCTTTCATGGCATGTGTCCAAATTTACCTCTTTGCGCTTTCGGTCATCTTTCCCCTCGGACCCCATCCCCTGCCTGGGTGCCCAATCAAACACTGTGTAATGCTTTGAAAAAGTCCTCCTGACGTTGAATGCTCTTTATAAATGAAAATTGTATTGGTTTGGTCATTCTAGTTTGGGATATTTTACAGTTGCCAGTGTTGGACCCCAAATTGGGTCGTAGTGGTTTTAGTACAATAAGGAGTCAAATAGGGCTACATTATCTAACCTGACTGCACTGCCAGACTCTTACCTGGATACACATAGCTACACAACAAAGTAACTCCTGAGCAACACTGCATTTCTAATTACATGGTGTTGAGTTTGGCATTTACCCGCACCTGACCAGAGGTGAGGGTTTTATTTCCACATTGAATAGAGACTTTGTAACTTCAGTGTGATCACGCAGGTCTTTGTGATCCAGACCATCATGTTAGAACAAGAGACCATTCAGTTCAGCAAGCTGGCTTGTTCAACCGTTTACATCTGTGCTCAGGAAGTGCATGGAGGAGTCTTGCTTCACCATGTTCCACATTTTGTGGGATGTATAAGATCTTCTTCCCCACAGGCAGAGTGGGTAAAACAGATGTGGTGCCATTTGAAAAATAGCTTGATGCCATAATGGGAAGATGGCAGGTTTGTTATTCTGTAAGTCAGATGTGATGAATTGGGCTGAAAGGGCTTTCTTTGTCCTAGTCTCTCTCTCAGGATCTTGTGAATTTAGAAATAGTATCTATTCGTTGCAAACCAACAGAGTACAGAAGGAAAGCACAACATTATCCATAAGTTTTTTTTATATAATATGTACAGGATTAAAACTAAAACCCACTATTGTTGCACATTAAGGTGTACAGTACAGCAGCACTTTGTTTCCAGACACCGATAACAACCCTCACATTTGATATAGTGCCTTATCACGTCTTCGAGTCATCTCAAAGCGCTTCACAGAATATACAGTAAGGTCAATTGACTGTATATTTTGTGGGCGAAATGCAGCATTGTGCACAGCAGTGTCCCACAAATAGTCGTGGATTGAGTGACCACATTTTTTTAAAGGCTTATTACCCCCAGAAAAGCAATCTGCCAACTGACTAATAACCGGGTTCCTACTTAGTACTAGGTAAACAGAGGTGTGTGGAGTAAGGAAACTTGCCCAACATTTCGCCCTGCTGGGAATTGAACTCAGGTCCTCTCGCTTCTGAGGCAAGTGCTCTAACCACTGAGCTACAGGAGTTAATACAGTATTAGTGTTGAGGAGTAACCTGAATGACGATTAAAAGCACCTACAAATATGTAATAGGATACAAATAAATTGTCACCAATTATTTCAATTTAATGATGTAATAAATATTTTTATAGACCATCGGAGGGTTTATTTTTTGTCTGTCTGACCTATTGCTTACAACAGGAATCCATTATACATTGTGAGCAATTCTTTAATGTATCCTTGTTTAAATATACTTGTGTAACAATGCCTATTTTCAATAAAATGTTTTTTTTGTTCCTTTTCCACACTAGTTCTTCTACTAGTGACCTCTCTGGTTATGACCATGGATATCTGAGGAGGAGTCCTGATCAATACAGCTCGAGGGGCAGTATGGAAAGCCTGGACCATACTAATCCTCCCTACCCCTCCTGCAGTCTCTCTCCTGCCAAGTCTACCAACAGCATCGACCAGTTTTCCCATCACCACAGCAAGAGAGACTCTGCCTATAGCTCCTTCTCTACAAGCTCCAGCATCCCAGAGTACCCGCCTCCATCCTTGAGCAATGAGCCATCCTACTCCATGGAAAACATGCCATCCAGGAACAGTCTACATGAAGGAATCAGACAAGCTGATATAAAGTATGTAAAGACAGTCTACGACCACCACAGGGGCATATCTGAAGAGCAAGAGGTGTGCTGCCCTTCCATGATGAGAAACTCTGAGAGTCGAACCCAAGCTGACGCCAGGAGCTATTATAGGCCATACACTGGCAACAGACATAGTATTGGTCCAGTGTGGAATAACCCGAATAGGAGCTCTTTGGAGATTGATAGTAAAACACCTCCTCCTCCTCCACCAGCTCGCAGTGATAGTTTCATGGCAATCAGGAGCCATGAAAAACCTACCCCCTGGTCCAGTCTGGACGGACAGGCCAAGACTGTTCGACCTCAGCCAAAGGGAGCGTGGCCTTACCATAGCAACGCAGGTTCTTCTGGGCAAACGCATCCATTAAAGCCTGTTTTCATTGAAGGACAACTGAACACCGTGCTCGAGAAGAGTCCTGAGAGTAGCCCAGCAACTCAGCCTAAGCACTGTTACCCTCAGACACCTCAACCCGGTCAACCAATGCTCCCGACGGGAGTGTATCCAGTGCCCCAGCCTGAGCCGCGGTTTGCACAGGCTCCAGGCAACCGCAACAACTGCTTGCATCAAAGTGCCAATAATGGGTTCCTGAATCCTGCTTTAAGTAAGGAGAGTTCATTCGCCTCTCCAAGTTCATTTGAAAGGACTAAACATACTCCGTGCAATGTAGAAAACAAAAACCAAAGCACCACCAACAAGCCTTCTGTTTATTACCAGCCCTCGGGCGCACAACCTGGTTTAAACAACAGATACGAGATGGTATCTGAGCGTACAGAGGGACAATATGGGCATTACCGGGCACATGTTTTACCCAACTCCAAGGGCGTTTATGACACAGCTGCAGTATTACCCGATGCAGGACCAGTGTCTTGTCCTAACACTCCTGTCGGTATGAGCACTGCCACACTCGAAGCCCACTATTATTGTAGACCCAGTGACCGCCAGCAGCATGCACAGCACAAAAGAGATGGCAGTGACAGACCACTTGCCACTCAGCCCAGAGAGAGCTGGCAAGGGAAAGGGCATCCCGATGGGGACTGCTCCCGGTGGAAACCCCAACCGGAAGATCACATGCCTCGGAGCTGGAGCGATAGCCAAGACAGACCCGGTATTTCTTCTCCTTTCCGTCAGAGCAACGGGGAAAGTAAAGCTCTCCATCGCAGGCAGCACAGCCTGGACGCCAAAGCATCGTGTCAGTGGGAGAGTTACAACGATGTACGTCTCTCGCAAAAATGGGGGCAGGAGAGCAGAGAGCAGCCCACAGATCACTGGAGCAGCTACGGACGGCAACAGTCACTCAAACATAGCGGCAACCACAGCGACATCATCCAGTCTCCATACACACCGGTGAGGGGTGAGGAGCAGAACCATCGTTCTGACCTCAGCAGGTCAAGATCCAGTACCAGCAGCACTCAGAGCTCACACAGCAGCCAGTATGGAAAACCCGAAGTGTCCAAGCGCTGCTCCGTGTTGGAGACGGTCAGCAAGATTGAACAGCGCGAGCACGATGGAGAGAAGCTTCCCAACCCCCGAAGCTTACACCTTGCTCCCGAATACAGTCGGCTCAGCCAGTCCTCCAGCAACAGGAACTCGCTTACCAGCACGGAAGATCCCAGGAATAGGTACAGTCTGCAAGAGGGACCGACACTCAGGCAGGCGATCCATCCCATTACCAACCTGATCAGTGCCGACAGGACACCCATCCTGCACCACTTGACGTGTGAGAACAGAGAGATGGGCAGCAGGTTGGAGGACCCCAAGCCCCGGGACGCTGCGTCACAATCTACGTTCAAACCCTTACAAAGGAGCAGCTCTTCTTCCATCGCCTCGCTTCCCATCACAAACATGGCGGCCCAGCTCCACACATCCAAAAGCTCCCCGCGGCTGGTGGATGACGGTGATGATAAGGACCCCCTTTGGGGAGATGATCCCCAGGACGTGTCAGGCTCTCCCCCCGATAACTCCTTCAACCGAGCTTACAGAAACAGCCTGAAAAACGCTCAGACCAAGGTGCTGAGGGCCACCTCTTTCCGACGGATAGACCTAGGCATCGTCTCTTCTTACCAGAACAAGCAGAGGCCGTCCTCGGCACACGTGGGGCCAGCATCTCAAGCGAGGATCTTCAGTGCACCCAAGGATCGGCCCCGCGCCGTCACGATGGACATGCGGAGCACGACCCCAGAGGCCAGCGGCAAAGAGTTTGCGGGGGCTCCTCAGCACATGCTGCGTATCGGCAGCAGGAAACGGCTGACGGCGGAACAGAAGAAGCGATCGTACTCTGAGCCGGAGAAAATCAACCAGCTGGGGGTGTCTGACACCGAAAGCTCTCCCAGCTCCCAGCAAAAAAAGGACTGGACCTTCGTTTTCCCTGAGCCCACTGAGCTGAAGTCTGTCGCTGACAAGAGGAGGCTCTTCGAGAGAGATGGAAGGGCCCTGTCGACGGCCGACCTCTCCAAGCCAGAGCTGAAGCAATTCCAGCAGAACGCCCTCGCCGATTATATCCACCGTAAAACAGGCAAAAGGCCTTTCGTGCAAGACACTGTAAGTGTCAGGGAGCGCTTGCAGAACACGTTCTTGGGGCAAAGCCGCTCCGATGTTCAGAGCCTCTCGTCCTCTTCCAGTATGAGCTCCCTGCAGGACCAGAGCGTGTACTGCCGCCAGCCGGTGGACAGGCTGGCCGAGACGGGCCGCGTCTCCTCCACGCTGCCTCCGGGCTTGAGCGGGGCCTTCGACTTCGATGAGGATGGCTACCAAGCCAGTGTCGGCGCTTCCCTCAGCCGGCGCAGAGCAGACTTGGAACGTATTTACCGTTCGGAGATGATGTTGAACAAAACGTTTCAGCAGGAGTTGGACAGAGCTTACAGTCCATTTCATCCCACTCAGCACCCTCAGCAGCAACACTCGTCGTTCGATAGACATTCTTTTGCGAGGAATTCGGGGAAGTTTGCATCTGCCGAGAACCTGCTGGAACGGTCCGAACACCCAGTGCCCGTCCACAGTCGCTCAAGGTCATCGCCGTCAACTGAAGTTATTAGACAGGTACGTGTGAGGCTTTCAAATTTCCTGTGTTTTGAGGTTGGGTTGGGTGGGGGAGGGTCACCGATGCAGGCCAACGCAGCGCCGATCACGGCTGGTGAAGACTATTGTGATCCAGCTGTCCAGTCCTGACGAAGAAAAGAATAGCCTACAGTTCTCTCGTACTCGTGCCCCATAATTTATATTTTTTGCCAAAAGGCTATGTAATGCCAAAACGCGTCCATGCCATGACCCTCTCTGCCTTCCCCCACCTCCACAACATCGCCCGGCTCCGCCATTGTTTCAGAACTCTGCAGCCCGTGTCCTCTCCCACACCAGGCTCCATGACCCTATCACCCCCATCCTCGCCTGACTCCACTGGCTTCCCATCACACAGAGGATACAGTTCAAGATCTTAGTCCTCACCTTCAAAGCCCTCCATGATCTTGCTCCCCCCTACCTCTGCAACCTCCTAACCCCCCTGCCATCCCGCCGCTCCCTCTGCTCAGCAGGCTCCGACCTGCTTCACGTCCCCAACCTTGCCCGCTCCACCATTGGCGGGCGGGCCTTCTGCCACTTTCCCCCTACCTTCTGGAATTCCATCCCGCAATCCCTCTGCCTCGCTCCCTCCCTTGCCTCCTTCAAGACTCTCCTCTTCAACCGTGATCACTCTACCTCCCCCCTGCCCTCCACCCTCCCCAATCCCAAACCCCAGCTTGGGTCCGAAATGCTGACTGTCCAGCGCCTTGGGATGTCCTCCCGACGTGAAAGAGGCTACACAAATGTAATTTTGTTGTTGTTGTAATTCTCTCTTGAATTTGCTGAGATGACCGTCTGCCATAGGAGTCTGTTACACCCCTGTCTAAAGGGGAGAACAGCTTCCATTGTCAGCACTGTCCTCTTATTTAGTCAATGCACAAAGTCATTTACAACTCCTCTTCCTTTGGTGGCTATCTCTTTCTTGTGGCTGCCTTGATGGCTCAGTGAATTTGTTGGAGGGATGAGGCATAAATAGGAATGTTGAAAATTAGGCAAAGGAGAAGGCCATTTGGCTCATTGAACCTTCTCCTTTGTAGACAATTCCATGCTCTGTAACCCCCCCATCTCCTCTTGTCCCATTTGCCAAAGTGGAGAAATGTGCTGAAATCTCACCAGCCGAGAGTAGGGCGAGGACATGAAGTAGACCTGAGTTATCAGAATGCAGGGAGTGGGCAAAGAGTAGGACGTCACAGAAGTACGGTGAGACCAAGAGCGTGGAACCATTTGAAAGTTAGAAAGAGGCTCTTGAAATCAATCTACTGGGATTTGGAGTTCTGAATATCTCTATTTTATGGAGGATTAAACTAAGAAAGCTACCAAAGAAAACCTTTGAGAAATTAAGTCTGGAGGTGACAAAGACGTGGATGAGAGTTTTGATTTGTGTTGGGGTCACCGTGCAGACAGAGGCAGGCAACATTGCAAAAGTGGAAGAAAGCTGAATTTGTCAAGGACCGGATGGTAGGCTTAAAGGAAAGCAACATACTGGGACAGCATACTAGCTATGGTAGCTGGTGTGAGCAGCTGGAGAGATTGATCAAGTCAGAGGCAGTGAATTCATTTAAGAAATAGCTTAATGCTCTTGTGAGTCATGGATGTACGTCCACAGAGAGGGGACAGAGAATTGTGTTGAGAAAGGTGGAAATGAGTTGGGTGAGGCAGGAGTAATGTAATGGGATTGGCAGAGCATTTGTGTTTGTAAATCTTGGGCAGCAGTTTTTTTCCCTTCCTTCCGTTCTATATACAGACTCTTAACAGACACTGTTCCAGTTGTAATGAAGAGCTGTGCTCAATGTGCTAATCCGCCTTCCTCTGTCCAATGCAGTTTGACCTGCTTTGGGTCATTAGATGCTTAAGGAATTTTTTGTTGTTGTTGAAAGAAGATGCACAGACAGGAAGCAGTAAAATCTCCAGGCACTGTCTGCCCCAGAGAGCCAGGAAACGTAAATGTTATTTTTTGTTTTCCTGTCCGGTGCCGGTTAGTGCCAAATCTGGTCCTGAATCAATGTCAAAATCACTGACTCTTCGCTGTTATTTTGTACACTTCTGGGAAACTGAGAGGAAAACTGATTGTTATTCTCCTTTGCTTTGTGGTCTTGTGGAGTCCTGTAGCTCAGTGGTTAGAGCACTCGCTTTGCAAGTGAGACACCTGGGTTCAATTCCCGGCAGGGTGAAACCTTGGGCAAGTTTTCTTACTCCACACGCCTGATAATAATCCCTCTTAAATAAAACAATAATAAATTGGTCATTTCAATCCACGACTGTTTGTGGGACACTGCTGTGTGCATTTGGCTGCTGCATTTCGCCCACAAATATACAGTCAATTCACTTTACAGTCTATTCTGTGAAGCGCTTTGAGACGTCGAGAAGATGTGAAAAGCGCGATATCAAATGCAAGGATTATTATTACAACCCTGACCTGCCAAACTCAACCAAATCTCACATTGGAAGCTTATTTTTACTGCTAGCTTTCTCTTCTTCCCTCGTTTCTTGAATGTGCTTGCCTCATTTTCCTTCTTTTGGGAGTGAAGAAAGAAATCCCATTTTAATATTTTCTTATCATGTTGAAACACCTTCGAGCAATATGCAGTAATTGTCCCAAATAGGCAGCTATTTTTGTTGGCAAGGTCCCGCAAATAGCTGTGAACTGAACAACTGATTTAATCTAAAGCATAATTGGTCAGGATATTGGGAGAAACATTCTTCTCTTTTTGAATAGTATCATGGGATCAGAACACGCAGCAGGAGCTAAGATTAACATCTCTTCCAACAATGCAGTGATCCCTGAGTACTGCACTGGAGTGTCATCTTAGAGTGTGAGCTCAGGTGCCACCTCGGGCTGGAGCGCAGAACTTTGTGACCCAGATGCACACTGGGCCAAGTTCAAGCCCAACATCAGGACTTTAAACTCCTGTATGGTGCTGAAGGTACACACGCCTGTTTGCTGAAGGTGCCTTCTTTCAGATGAAACATTAAACTGAGGTCCCGTCTGCCTGTTAGAGAAGTTAAAAATGCCATTGTACTGTTCGAAAAGAGAAAGGAATTTCTCCCGGTGTCCTGGCCAACAATCACCCAGATAAAACTGGTCACTCATTCCATAGCTGTTTGTGGGACATTGCTGTGCACAAATTGCCTGTCGCGTTTGCTTGCAAAACACAGAGTCACTCCACTTTACAGTGTATCTTGTGAAGAGCTTTGAGAAATCCTCCTGATGTGAAAGGTACTATACCAAATGCAAATGTTAGTATTCTACTGGGTAATTTTCACTCTCCAGTGAAGACTGATTGCCTATGGGGGAGAGGTGAGAGAGCCAACCCCAATCCTGTCCTCATATGATGCCCAGAGATATGCACTTTCAATAATGGTCACTAGATAGCAAACAAAAATGGGAACTTGCCTGATTTCTCCCTAACCTGGGGCCAAGAGTAATTGTAAGCACTGCTGCCAGGGAAGCTAACTTGACACAGATATGGGATTGAACCTGGTATCCAGTGGGTCTGTATGGTTCTGTGAAACATTAGGCAGTAGTTTGTCTACTGAGTGGAGGGAATGGGGGAGTATTTTATGGGTTGCCCCGGTCCAGTTGGAATATTCATTCCTACATCATGTTATGTGTGTTAGGTTGTAAATATGTTTCTTTAACAACCAGGATGTTGTGGCCGGAGCAAACCGAGTGGTCGGCATCTCTGCGAAGGATCAACTTCCATTATTGAGGCGGATGGGGATGGACTGCATGGGCAGCAGTTGTGGGTATGTAACCACTGTGTATGAGGCTGCAGCCTTTCTCACAAGACCCCTCTCTCCCTTCCTCCCCCCCCACCTGATTCACTACCAAGCAACGATGCACTTCCTGTTGAAAGGGACGATGGGTGCAATGTGGGAGAGATCAGGACCAGCTCTATTCATGCTCGTTGGGCCAGGCATTTAGACTTAACTGTAGGCACAACACCCCAACAGAAGTAAACCGTGCTGAGTGAGAGAGAAAAAAAACATGCATTGATGCAAAATGGAGAGAATGTGGTATGTTTGCGCTTGAGTTGGCAACATTCTAAAGGCTTATAATGACTCTGAAGCTTCACCCTACGTAGACTCCTCTTTCACACTGCGTAGACTGACTGGGGAGGGGCAGGGGAGATGTTGAGGGAACTAGTGCCCCACACAATGGGTTGAGTGGCTTCGCTTGTGGTCTGATCCAGTCTGGTCACCTGAACAGGTTGGCTAATCTGATCTGAAACCGCTCTGCAAAACCATTGTAAAATTCCGAAAGCTAACATTCATCACTACCTAAATAGAAGTGTACTTTCAATTTACTCGCGTACATTAGCTCCCACGCTAAAACTTACCCAACTCCGGAAACATTTTAGAATAGCATAGAAACGGGCCATTGGGCCCATTATTATTGCAGTAATATTATTACCACCAACAACACAGACTTACTGTGTTGGTGGTGGTAATAATATTACTGCAATAATAATCTTGTGATCTCTGCAAGAGGCAAATCTCATCCCACATTCCTCCTCTTCTTTGAGCATTTACCTAATACCCTTTTAAAATAATTGATAGCCTCTGCCTTAGCAGTGGGGTTTGTAGCAAAGAAACCTACATACCAACCACCCTGTGTGTAAAAGCATTTAGTTTCACAAAAAACAATACAGAAGGCATTAATTTCAGCGAAGCCAAACAGTCTGATCGGACTGCTAAACTGGTGCCCATGGCTTTTACACTTTTACAGTGGGTTACGTAATCAATGTGTTGCCTCACATGGTGGCCCTGGATGTACTCTGCGTGCTGTGAAGCTAGACCTACATTTCAGAAATTAACCCTCACCACATTTGAATCTGTTTGTGCCAATTTTGCCAATTTTTTCTCTCTTCGGGCATTATTTTCTCTCTCTTCTGAGTTACAGTCCATAGGTATCTGTTGCTCTGCGGCTCCTCTCCCAAGTGGCTATTAATGGCGTGTGAGTGTTTGACTATTCAATACTGGGTACGGGAAGCATCTCAGTCGAGCCTGGTCCTGTTCACGATTAGTGACCATACACAGCTTTGATGCTGCAAGAACGATCCCTGCCAAATGAATGCAGCGAGCAGTAGCTCTTACTCATAGGGCACCATTCCCTAACGCTGCCACAAAGGGTCTAATCAATAGTCCAGGCCTCACTAATCTGCTTCTCAAACCTATGTTTCTGGATTTACAGTGTCCCTTTGACTCCGGGTTCAAGACTTCAGCACCTGCCACGGCCCCAGCGTTCTGACCTCAACAGACCCCTGACAAGGCCAGGATCGCATGACTGGTATGATGACACAACTCCATGTGTTTTTTCTCTGATTTAATATTGTAACGAAATGGACCTGGTTCTAATTACCTCCTGCACAATTGGTGCTGATTCACGTTAGTGATAATTAGTTGTGCTGGGAGGTGGGTGGTGGGGGGGGGGCGTATCTTGCCTTGTTTTAGAAAGCTCATTCAGCGTAGGTATTTTTAAATATGTAAATGAAAGTGAATGAATAAATTCCCAGCACGTGGCAGCCAGGGTACTGATCAGCACAGGGTGGGCGTACACATTGCTATTGTAAGAAGTCATCCAAAATGTGGATAAGATAGCTGCACTCGATTTTTTTTAAAATTTGGATTTAAGAAGGTGTTTAAGGTGGCGCATAAGAGATTTCTTAAACTAATAGGTAGAAAGTTAGCATCTGACATATGACCGCCTACAAACAACAGTCACTACATTTTATGGTAAATCCTGTGAAACGCTTTTTCACTTGAAAAGGTGCTATATCAAATTGTTTTGGGGGATTAGATGGGTGTCTTGAAGCATGCGGAAACCCATCACCATGCTTAAGAGTATCCAAACCAAACTGAGAATTCCATGTATCCCAGCTACACGTGGAAATTCCAGAGATAGATTGTTGGAATGCAATGCGCACTCTTCCTGGAGGGATGCATCCTTCTTATTTAATTCCGGAAAGTATTAGATGCAGATCGGCAAGAGCCAAGGCTTGGGGCCCCAGAGTGTGAGACCCCAAAGTGGGTACAGGAATGGTTCAAGGACATGCAGCAGAGAATGGGAATTGAGGGATTTTTTTTCTCATTGTAGAGATGAGTTAATGGTGTGCCTCGGGGATCAATGTTAGCACCTCTCTTGTTTTCTCTTGCTATAAAAGAGGAGTTTATCCTGGTGTCCTGGTCAACAATTCCCCAATTAAAATTGGTCACTCACTTCATGGCTGTTTACGAGACATTGCTGTGTACAAAATTGCTGCCAAAGTTCACCCACAAGGGACTCACTCGCTCCACTTTTCATTACATCCTGTGAAGCGCTTTGTGATATCCTCCTCACGCAGAAGGCACTATACCAAACGTAAAAAAAAATTGGGGAGGAAATGGAAATAGAGGGTTCTGGAAAAGAGGGGAGAATGGGATAAGGATGAAAACTTCTTGGCAGAGCAAATACGGACATGAGCAAATGGCTTCTTCCTGGTGTGTTGTACATTTGCATGTTTTCTCTAAATTGGGATTGTTGATGGAGTGCCATGTTAGCAGCAGTCTTTTAGCCATATTAGGAGCAGTTCTTTAGGTGTTCCTGTAGCTCAGTGGTTAGAGCACTCGGCTCCAAGCGAGATCTGGATTCATTCCCAGCAGGGTGAAACGGGCAAGTTTCATTATTCCACATGGCTCTGTTTACCTAGCAGTAACCCAGTTGCTAGTCGATTGGCGGATCGCTTTTCCAGGGGTAATAATTCATTCCAAAAAAAATTCTTTTTTTTTAAGTTTTCACTCAATCCACAACTGTTTGTGGGACACTGCTGTGTGCAATTGGCTGCCGCGTTTCGCCGATAAAGTATACAGTCAATTCACTTTACACTATATTCTATGAAGCGCTTTGAGACATCTTGAAGACGTGATAAGACACTTTATCAACTGCAAGAATTATTATATTATTATGAGCAGTCCTTTACTGGGGCCCATGATAGAAGCTCAGAGAAGGAGACTTAACCCATTCACAACGCACCTCTTATACCTGGCAGACAGGGAGCGATCAAATTTTCTTTCAAACAATCTGGGTGGGATTTGCACCGCAATCCCCAGATGTGAAAAGACAGTACACAGCCAGTCCTCCCATAGTTTTCAATGGGGTGGAGGGAGCACACTTTAGGAAAGCAATAATGTTATTGACTCATGGCGTAAACTGTGTTTTGTCACACCAACTCCCCAAGACCATCACTCCAGCCTGGGATGGCTTTGGAGTCGAGTCACATGTGTCAGTGTGACATACATTAGGTGTCCATGAAGAAAACATAATTAATTGATCCTGTGAGTTGTATTGTGAGGACAGTAACGCTACCAATTCCTCAGGAGCACTCAGTGTTGGTCTCAGAAACAATGGACTTTTAGTTCTTTGAATGAAATCTGGTTTTGCATCGATATCCGTGTGATAATTAAAGGAAATAAATCTCCTTTATTTTTCAAGGTCTTTCAGCAATGAAGCAAAAGACAGCAGAGACAAAGCTGTAGCAACCCAGCATTTGGCCATTTATGAGAAGGAGCCGTCGTCACTCGGAATGCACAGAGTGTCCAGCTGGAATGACAGGCACAGGCCATTGGACACTTACAGGCCCAGCAGCACCTCAGGCATTGTGTTGCCAGCAAGTGTCGCCCCTCTCTGTATCTCTGAGACCATGGCACACAGTAAGGCAGCATCAGAGCAGTGCATCAAATCCAATGCAAGCATTCAAGACAATAGGGGCAGCGGTCTGACTAAAGCAGCCCAGGGATCATTCACAAACTACCCGCCCGAGGACACAGCGCTGGAGGAGGCAACGAGGAGGAAAGTGGTGTCGCCACAAAGGCCTCCCCCTCCCAAGCTCAAATGGGTAAACCCTGGGAGTGAAGAGCCAGTGAAGAGGCCAGCGATCCCGCGGTATTCCGGGTCCAACCTTAATCCGTCTCAGTGGGAGCCCAGCCGAACAGCGCAAAGCAGTGGCAGCTCTGAGTCTGAAACACCGCCCCCTCGGCCCCCTTCACCGCAAGACAGCGTCCTTTTGACCACCTCTCCAGCACAGTTCCACCTCCGCTCAGCATCCTACCCAGATGAAGATGATGTGTTTATCCAGGAGCCGGAGCCACAGGCCAACAGTTTCCAGATATTTCCACCTCCTCCTCCTCCTTCTCCTTCTCTGCAGGATCCCAGCGCTGTTGCAAATGCTCACTATAAGGAGTTTCCACCTCCGCCTCCTCTGATCGACTTTAAGGAAGAGCCAAGCACTGAATTCTCCAGCGGGAATGAACAGGAAGCATCGCACAGGTAATCTAGATGCCAATTCCAGTATTCAGTGGGTCGGATCAAAAATAAATCCAACTGGCTCAGAAATATTTTTCTTAAAACTTGCATTCACTTTCAACAAGTCCCGTCATTGATTTTAATACCTATTTATTTTTATTTTAAAACATTTTTAATGTTTTAAAAACAATGAAAAGTTGGAAAAAGTCAACATAGATTCCACAAAACCAAAACCCTAATGGGTAGAGCGGTCCTAGCTGAACAAGCAGTGGGGAAAGCTTGTCAGACAGCGACATCAAAGGCAAACTGTGCGGTTTTAGCTGGTTAGACTCCAGCAGTACCGTAGTGTGCATTCTGATGTCCTCTTGTCTCTTGCCAACCTGTGCCTAATACTCTCTGGAATTAGGTAAGCAGGATGCGACTGTCCAGGGAGAGATTGTGCACTCCTTTCCAGACACAGGGAAATTTCCATGTGTAGATGTCATACAAATGTGCTTATTTAACATCCACCTGAACATGCAGACAGCAGTTTCCATGCTGTGTCATTTTATGTAACTCACCATCCCTCTTCCCTCCCCCACCCAGTATTGAAACAATCCTTGTTGACATCACATTGATCCTCCCATTTCTCAATCTAAAATATAATTTGCTACACTGGGCTTTCAAGGACAAGCTATGCGCTTTTAGCTGGTTAAACTCCAGCAATTCCGCAATGCGCATTCTGATAACATAGCACCTTACCAGGTCATTGAGATGTCTCAAAACGCTTCATAGGATTTTACTAAGAGGTGTAGTGATTATAGATTGTAGGCAGTCAGTAGTCTCAGCCAATTTGCAAACAGCAATGACCCCAAACAGCCATGGAAGTGGAAAATAGAAGGGAGTTTCAATTATTATGAAGCATGTTGAGACATTTTAATTTGACAAGGCAAGTTCTGTCTCTTTCTTTTCCCTGCTTCTGTGGAAGTTAAACAACGTTTTTCAAGCACTTATTTTAAACACATTTCCAAGCTTTTGTATTGCAATGTTTACCGATAAATATTTTCCAATATTGTGTAAACAGTGTTATTCCAAATAGCAATGCATTAAATGCTTCCACCTTTATTTGTAGTTACCAGAGAGGAACTGACTTGTGCTGGTGTATGGATCTAAATCTCCCGATAATAATAATAATAATCCTTGCATTTGATATAGCGCTTTTCATGTCGGGAGGACGTCCCAAAGCGCTTCACAGAACACACTGTAAAGTGAATTGACTGTATATTTGTGGGCGAACGCGGCAGCCAATTGCGCACAGCAATGTCCCACAAACAGTCGTCGATTGAAAATGACCAATTTATTATTGGTTTTGGAGGGATTATTATTAGGCTCTGTGTGGAGTAAGGAAACTTGCCCAAGGTTTCGCCCTCTGCCTGGAATTGAACTCAGGTCTCTCGCTTGCAAAGCGAGTGCTCTAACCACTGAGCTACAGGACTCCACTGAGCTACATAGTCCTCTGGCACCTCACCTACGTGGCCATTCTTCATGTATGAGTGTTGGCAACCTGCTGAGCCTTATCCTGGGTTCTCATGTGATAACCGGGCTTTTCAACAGTGATTTCTGGATAGCCGTTAGGAGCAGGTAGACTTTCAGCCAAAAATAATGAACACATCAAAACACTGAATAACACTAAAGCACCCTTGAATGTGCAATATATCTTATGGACCAGAGAAGGAGCTTTTCTCTTGGATGGATTTTCTGTGGTAAAACTAAATAAAGGGGCAATGTGGTTTTACCACAACAATGATGTACATTGCTGTATATCACACAAGGGACACAGTCTAATTGGAGCTTTCTCTGCCCCTTGATCTAACATTTGTTTCAATGGGGTTGAAAGTAATGCCTTACCAGTCAGTGCCTCAATAAGAATAATAATAATAATAATCCTTGCATTGAATATAGCGCTTTTCACGTCTTCTAGACGTCTCAAAGTGCTTCATAGAATATACTGTAAAGTGAATTGACTGTATATTTGTGGGCGAAACGCAGCAGCCAATTGCACACAGCAGTGTCTATCAGTCATTGATTGAGTGACCAAATTATTACTGTTTTTTTTGAGGAATTATTATCCCCGGAAAAGCAATCCCAACAATCGATTAACAACTGGGTTCCTACGTGCTGCTAGGTAAACAGAGGTGTGTGGATTAAGGCAACTGCCCAACATTTTGCCCCGCGGAGGCGAGTGTTCTAACCACTGAGCTACATGACTCAATGGTAATAAAAAGCACATCACAATGAAACTTTGTCTCCAGCAGGAAACCCCATGTGCATCGCGCCAATTGGCGAGACCTCAGCTCTGACCTGAGATCACCATGGAGCTGAGGCCCTGTGAGTCTGCATAATGATCATGGGTTTCTTTGCAGGAGAGAAGGTTTATATGGGTACCTGAAATGGTAGTACCTTTCAACCCTAGTAGACAGAGATGCTAGGAAAGATGCTAAGGGCATGGACAATGGCAGTAAAATATTAGGTAGAGCAATACAGAAATGTTAAAGATTTGTTTTCTCTAGGATTGACAGTCACACTGTTTTCCTTCTAACTTCACTAGTTTGCTAGTTTAGCAGGTGTTTTTTGATGGCAGACGATCGCGTGACTTGTCTCTGTATTATCTGCAGGTTTTCAGAAAGTTACCCTGTGAAGGACAGGCTGCAGGTCACAGCAGAAGAAAGTCAAACAAGGTGGATCCACAGCAATTCCTCTCAGCTCGGTCCCAACCTTCCCGTCACAAACCATGAGCCAGAGACGCTGGCCATTGCGACCATCCCACGCGAGAGTAATTCACCACACCCCACGCCTCAGCTACACCAGGACTCGGGAGAATCCTTTATCCCAACCGAAGATCCAGCGGCAGCCGAAGCACAAACCACAAAGCAAGAAAATAGAGGAATCATAGGCCAGGTCGAGTCGTCATTCCTGGAAGGGAATCAGAAGTCTCCAGAAGACCTCAAGTCTGAAAAGCTTGCCAAGGAGATTATCATCAAAGATAAGTCTTTGGCAGATATCTTAGATCCTGACTCCAAAATGAAGACAACCATGGACTTAATGGAGGGCATCTTTCCCCGGGGTAGCACAGTGCGTCAGGAAGCCCAGCACAGGAGGCCGAGGGTAAAGAAACTGCTCAACAAGTCCGTCTCCGAGGAAGAAAAGTAAGTAGCAGAATTTCACGTAAGATATAAGAGGTGAATATCACTGCAGTGTTGCTGCTAAATAGTTACCATCATGATTGGGTTAGCACAGGGCAGGAACGCACAATATACTGCAGTGTCGCTAGATAGTGTAGGCAGCACGATTGTGCTAATGTGGCTTAGCAACATGCAGACATTCGCTGTGTTATTTTTCCTCTTTCCCCTGCATTACAAGACATAAATGATAATTGTGCTACAATCTGTCTTCCCGTATACTTTATGGAGTAGTCAGAACCAGGGATCTCTACCTTGGCAGCACAAATTTTAGACAAATCAATACAGACATCTTACCTTTAGGAATTTCCCCATCCCCTGTTGACACATTTACATATTGTCACATTTTTCTATTGCCTCTTCAATGTAATGTAAATGTAATGATCTTCAGTAGAGTATTGGGCAGGAGTCCAAGTGACTGATATGAAGACCTTGCTGTGGCCATGATAGAGAGTTATAAGAAATACTTTTCTTATATATTGTTAAATATATCAAAGCCTCTTTAAAATATTCACTTAATCAAAGTTGCGGCTGTCTATTAACAACAACAACAACAACAACAACAAGATTCCATTTATAAAGCGCCTTTCACGTCAGGAGGACGTCCCAAGGCGCTGCACAGTTGGGTCATGACTCGAGCAGGGGGGAAATGGTCAGGGTGAGGGGAGGGAAGGGAGGGAGCGAGGAGGGGGGAAATGGTCAGGGTAAGGGGAGGGAAGGGAGGGAGCGAGGAGGGGGAAGAGAGTCGAGAGGGGAGCCTGAGGCTCGGTCAAAGAGAAAGGTTTTGAGACCGGCCTTGAAGGAGGAAAGGGAGGAAGCAAGGCGAAGGCACTGGGGATGGAGTTCCAGAGCCTGGGGGCTGAGAGGCTGAAGGCCCGACCATCGATGGTAGGGCGGTTGGGGCGGGGGACGTGGAGCAGACCGGAGCCAGAGGAACGGAGGGTACGGGTAGGTAGGCATTAAAACTGTGTCTTTGAGGATCCCTGCCTTACCTAGTCATAAACCTATTTATTTTTATTAAGGAAAGAGGAAAAGGAGACTGTGACGGCAATGGTTCACTGTCCCACATACTACAGCACATCTGCTCTCAAAGCTGAGCTGCTGAATAAAGTGAAGGATATGCAGGAAAATGTTACTGAAGAGGATCAGGAGGAAGAGCCAGATGTCAATGAAAAGAAGGTAACTGCATTTCATGTCCCATTTATAGAACTGGATGACCGAGACATACCACTTCCAGTAGGAGAGAAACGCACACCAAAAAATCTGACTTGTATTGCCTGCTCCTCATTGCATTAGCCGGGGGCTTTGCAGAACCTTGCACACATGCAGCTCAGCACAAGCTCAGTTATCGCAATAGCAGCCATGAGTCTTTTAATGTCATCAACAAGGTGGTCACGTTTCCTTTCCCATTAAATTGAGAATATGGTGCAGCATTGACAGATAGGCTCAGTTCTGAGGCTCCCCTCAAATCATTGCCAGATTCTCAAGGTCCCATGAGTTCAATCACCACTTTGGTTCCTTTTTCTGTTATTCAGACCACTGCCCTGGAAACCATGTAGTGTCATTTCTGGATCTATCACTGGTTGCTAATATTGTTGCTATTTTTTTTATAATGGGGATTTCACATTACAAACACGTAGATAATAGATTGCTTGCCTTAGAACACTGTATTGTGGCTGTACAGAATGGTCTATAGTCAACAAGGTTTAAGCTGGTTTACTACAGGCCAGAACCTTGTAAGATGAAGGTTGAAATCACCCATAAAGAGCAGGCGTTCTGTGCAGGGGGACAGAGATGAGAGGAGATATCTGCACTGGATGAGCCTGGATGAGCGCAAATTTCCTGCAGCTGAATGTCAGCAAGACGGAAGCCATACTTTTTGGCTCCTGTCAACGTCTTCCCTCCTTTGGGTCTGAACTCTTCAATCTCCCCGGGCTCTCCCTCAGGTTCACCGAATCTGTCTGTGACTTAGGCGTCAGGTTTAATCCCCAGCTTTCCTTTCTACCTCACATCCATTCCCTGACTAGGACGGCTTTTTTCCTCCTCCATCACATTGCCCACCTCTGTCCGTACCTCACAATCAACACAGGCAAAACCCTCTTCCACGGTTTCATCACTTCCCGGCTGGACAATTCCAATGTCCTTCTCGCTTCTCTTCCAACTCCACCATACACAAAATTAATTAATACAAAACTCTGCCACCCGATACTCGCCCGCACAAAACTCCATACCCCCATCACACTAGTCCTTGCCAGGCTCCGCTGGCTCCCAAATACTGAACAGATCAATTTCAAGATCCATTCATTTGTTTTCAAATCCCTTCATACTCCAGCACCTCTCCTTCTTATCCGATCTGCTTACCCTCCACTCCACCTCCCCCTGCCTCCACTCAGCTGGCTCCGGCATCCTGTCTGTCCCTCGTCCCTCATCCCCTCTGCTCCACCATTGGTTGCCATGCCTTCAGCCACTACGCCTTGAAACTCTGGAACTCTCTCCTTCAATCCCTCCGACTTGCCCCCTCCCCACTTTCAAATCCCACCTAAAGACCTTCCTTTTTGATCGTGCTTTTTGATCCCTCCCCCTCCCTCTCCCCCTGGCTTAGTGTCAGACTCCGCCACTGTCAAGCGTTCCAGGACACTACCCCGCATGAAGGACGCTATATAAATGCAAGTTTTGTTGTTGTTATGAATGAGTCAGCATTCAGAATTGCTAACAGGTTCTGAAAGTAAATTCATTCAAACTTGACTTGCCAATGATTCACTGTATTTAATTTCCATCCATTTCCTCCTCTTACCTCGTTCTGCAGTCTGAGCTAATTGAAAGCATCACATGCAAACTTCAGAACCTAAGGGAAGCCAAGGAGAGCCTGGCAGCCGACATCAAGATGAACACTGCTTTGGAGGAGGAGGTGGAGGCCCTCATTGGGAACCACTGCAAGTCCAACGAGTTTGAAAAGTACAAGATGTTTGTGGGGGATTTGGACAAGGTGGTTAACCTGCTGCTGTCCCTCTCTGGACGCCTGGCTCGGGTGGAAAATGTCTTGAAGAATCTCGATGAAAATGCAAATGCAGAAGAACGGGTAAGGAATTGGGTAGTTTCTTGATTATGGTGGCTTGGTTCAGATTTTACCTGCAAGTGTGGTAAACGAAGACGCCAATATTATTTGACATTGAATGAGGGAAACGGAACATCATTGATAATTCTGGTTTGAAATGGTCAATGAAATTGCTTCTTCAGTGAAAAAAGATATGTTCTTCTGGTGTGCAAAGAATGCAAACGCACCATTTGGTATAGTCCTGAGATGTACAAAAACAGTTAGAACCCAGCTTTGATCCTTTAAACCTGCTGGACCAGGGTTATGCCCTCACCCAACAAATGCACACCAATCCTTTCAGCAAAAGAATAGTGGTAATCCCAGACTAGATTTCAACCCCCTCCCATTATTCAATCATCCCAGCAACTCTTTGTCCAACCGCCTCGTCCAACCATTCCCTCAACCATCTCGTACACCAGCCATTCTTCATGTGTAAGCCCAAACTGATAGAATTCATAATATGGCTCATGGTCCATTAGTAGCCATCTCTCTTTCATCAGTTAGTTGCTTTCCATATACCTCCTATCCCATGTGCTTCTGAACCTATTCATGGCCCTCACTGCCATGAGATATTAGCTTGATCCTGCCCTCACCCACCATCTGTACACCTAACCTTCCAGCAGGAGGGCCTCCCCTCCGCAAGGTAGTCAGGAGTAGTAATCCTGGAGCTGACTTCCCCCCGCGCCCCCACCCCGCCCGACCCTTAACCTTCTGGTCTCATTGCCCAGCTTTTCCCTATGGTGGGAGAAGTCAACTAATGGTCCATTAATTTACCATTAATACATTAACGTTCTGGATTCCCCCTCAAGAGTGAATGGTTTCTCTGTCGCTACCCTATCTAATTCCTTTATCATTTTAAATAACAGCAATAACAACTTGCATTTATATAGTGCCCTCCACACGGGATAACGTCCCAGAGCGTTTCCTCAAAATACCTCAAATTTCCTCAAAATCAGATCACCCCTCAACCTTTTAAACCTCTTGAAAGTGTAAAAGGAGCCCCTCCAGGGTTGAGTGTCAAGTGTCCTGATGCCTCGCTCCTGTTGTTTCAGAACTCGCTGAATGAGAAGCGTAAACTCCTGCTGGGCCAACACGAGGACGCCAAGGAGCTGAAGGAAAACCTGGACCGAAGGGCACGGCTGGTGCTGGAGATTCTGGGAAACTACCTGATGGAGGAGCAGCTGCGAGACTATCAGCACTTTGTGAAGATGAAGGCAGCTTTGCTGATGGAGCAGCGTGAGCTGGATGACAAAATCAAGCTGGGCGAGGAGCAGCTCAAGTGCTTGAGGGAGAGCCTCCCCACCGACTTTGTGCGGCAAAGGACAGCAACCCAGCCCAGCGGCCACTCTGCAGCCACCCCTTCGGCACTCTAAAGAGAGAATGCAAGGACTTTCAGCAAGTTAGCAGTTAATAGTGCTCTTCGGGCTAGAGTGAAGAGACATTGTGACGGAAAGGGGGGAAATGGGAAAAACGGCTACGAGTGACGAGACTGAGAGAACGGAGCCAGCATCGTTGTTGTTTGATGGACAGAAAACACTCCTCGCAAAGAGCCTGATACAGGGGGAACACTCGTGAGGAAACAAAAGTGGACTCACAACACTATCTTCTTTTTTNATAAAGCAATTCGTTAAAACTCTCACCAGGGAGGGCTGTGCAAAAAGTCCTTACCAGGAACGTATTTTTAAAGACAATGGGGATTAGGCGGTTGGGAGAGAGAGAAGTATTTTGTAGCCTTATTAATAATACCAGAGAATTAGTACTATTTATAATCTGGAAGCGTGAGTTTCTGTACATACGTTAATCTTCTGTGGTTTTGCTTTATTGCAATGGGGGAATCAAATTTTGTAAGAAAGAAACTTTTGAAAAGCAAATGTGATGTTGCAGGAGTGATTCCAATCCTATGAACTTGGAGGGGGGGGGTTATAAATAATAGACTACTTCACTTCCAGATTGGTTGGACTATTGAACGCAGCTGGATTTGGGGAAGTGGCACAATTGGGGATTGATCATGTTGGCAGTTTGAAAGGACTTATAAAGCAGCCATTGGATGAGGGACCGGTGTTCATTTCTCATAGTGTACAGTCCAACTTTGATTGACTGTCACTCTTCAGACTGATGTTTATAAACTTATGGAATCTGCACATTTTCCCCCATTGATATCTGTAGGAGAGTTTTATGTGTTGGCTAATGTCCCACAAAGGTGACAAACATGAGTACGCGAGTGACCATTGCAGAAGGACTTTCATGCTTATGTGGTCCCATAAGCCTACCCGTGGCTTGGAGCTGTTGAAATTGGAGTCTATAGACTTGTTGGAGTAAAGCTCGAATGAGGCTTTGACTTTTTTTTGCTGAAATGGCTCCGTCAATGAAGGAAATCAAAATGATTATAAGAGACAACTGGTGCATGCTTGATTTCCGAGAAGCCAGACCTCTGAGGTTTGGGAATGCAGTTTACAGTGCAGAAGTGCACTGCTCCTCCCATGGAGCTCTATTCACGTAGGCTTGGTGGTTCAGCCAGACATCGGGTTAACATAAAACCTCCGGCTTTTTCCGATGCTTGCCTTGTGCTTCTTAAATATTCACTTCACGAACTTGACACTGACAACCGTGCAGACGTTGCACACGAAAACACTGCTGCGCGTAAACACTAAATGTCCCGAAGGTCCGACTCTGGCGCAAGGATGTGGAAGAAGCCTCACGTCTCCGCCTCCGATACACCTGCAATTCACAAAGCTAGACTGACGTGTGTTTCGTGACCCCAGGTCATCCGTGCATTGACTCCAGGGTACCGGCTCTATGTTCACGCACTGCTTGGTTGATGGCTGTGTGATGTTCTGTAGCTGGGATCTGAAAGCACACAGCATTGATTCTCACAGACAGCACTGTACGAGCAGTTTGTAATAAAAAAAATCAATGAACAAGAGGGGCATTACTCTTCCTCAAACGGCGGAATGTTAAACGGGAATTGCTGTTCTCACACAGATATCCTCATGTTGGAGCTTGTAAACCACTTACTGCTGCAGACAATAAAAGTCATGTGTGGCTGTCCACACTCGATTGCGTTTCTTTTGTATAACTGTCTGTGTGTTATATACAGGAGCAAAATCCATATTGGCCCTCAAAAAAAAACATTACATTTGTATAGCGCCTTTCACGTCACTAGCCGGGTACCTTAAAGAGAGACAGCTACGTGGGTGTGGGAAAAGGGCAGGGAAATGGGTCTGAAATGATTGCTCTTGAGGAAACTGACACAGTTTTGATGGGCTGAATGTGCTGTACATTTCTGTGTTTCTACATGGTTTTCCACATGTATGTGGATGATACCCAACTGTATCTCTCTGCCTCCACCCTTGACTCCAGGATCACTGTCCCCACCCTCTGTCAGACATCACTGTCACCACTCTCTCCTGGATGAGAGTTAACTTTCTTCAGTTGAACGTCAACAAGGCCGAAGCTCTCCTGATTGGCTCCTGTCAGCGCCTCCTCACCTCAGGCGCTGACAGCCTCACCATCCACGGTTGCTCACTCCACCTTACTAAGCCAGTCCGGAACCTTGGTGTTTTATTTAAACCTCGACTATCCTTTCTACCCACATTCATGCCATGACCCGCTCTGCCTTCCAACTCTGCAATATCGCCCGGCTCCACCACTGTCTCACACCGCAGGCCGCCCAAACCCTCATATATGCTTTCATTACATTGTGGCTCGACTATGCAAACTCCCTGCTTGTCGGCCTCCCCAACTCCTCCCTCCATAGGCTGCAGATCATCCAGAACTCTGCAGCCCATGTCCTCTCCCGCACCAGGCTCCGTGACCCCATCACCCCCATCCTCACCCGACTCCACTGGCTTCTCATCACACAGAGGATACAATTCAAGATTCTAGTCCTCACCTTCAAAGCCCTCCCTGGCCTTGCTCCCCCCTACCTCTGCGACCTCCTAATCGTCTACCAACCTGTCCGCTCCCTCCGCTCAGCAGGTTCCAGCCTGCTTTATGTCCCCCACCTCGCCTGTCCCACTATTGGCAGGCGGGCCTTCAGCCACTCTGTCCCTACCCTGTGGAACTCCATTCCACAGTCCCTCCGCCTCGCCCCCTCCTTTGCCTCCTTCAAGATCCTCCTCTTCGACCGTGCTTTCAATCACCCTCCTTCCCCCCCCAATCCCGACCCCCAGCTCGGGTCCGAAACACTGACTGTCCAGCACCTTGGAACGTCCTACCGACGTGAAAGGCGCTATAAAAATGTAATTTTGTTGTTATCGTCGTCTTGAAGAACACTGTAGAAATTGCCAAGACAAGGGCTTACATGGCTCAAACTGGAGTGGGGGAAGGCAGTTAAATAGCATGGAATAGTCTATGCCAATTTTTCTACTCAGTACTCCCCTTCCCCCTACCTCCCACCACACCCACACCTTCTATTTCCCTCTCTTATACCCTTCTATTCCCTTCTTCTTGTATGCCTCAAGTTTGCTCTTAAATACAATGATGCTTTTTTCTTCAACCACAGCTTCTGACAGTGAATTCCATATTCTCACCACCCTCTATGTGAAGATGTTTCTCAGCTGTACCTTACTTCCCTCATATTAAATGATAAACGGTAATATTACATGTTTTCTCCCTCTGCTTTCTGTAACCACCCCAGATTTCCTCACCACCGATTAAAGACCTTTCTATTTGACTGAACTTTTGGTCACCTCTCCCCTCCCCACCACCCCCTTCCTCAGCTTCCACCCCTTCGGGCTTCCAGTCAGCTCTGTGAAGCATTTTGAGGCATTCTTTTAACAAGATGTAAATCAGTGTAATTTGATGTGGTATTTGCCACTAATTAGATGTGTGCAGTACCAAACAATTTCATAAGCTTAACCAAATTGTCTCAGTGATTTCAGAGGTGCTTTTTAGCTTGTTTAAGCTGTTGCTTTGCACTTGCCACTTCTTTTTTGAATCGGCTTGTGACCTGGTTTGCTCCAAATACCCTTTCTTCCACATAGCTTGTCCCTTGCCTTGCCTGACTGATGCACTGGACCTTGTTGGAGGAGTTATTGGAACGTTTAAACTTCTGAGCCGAGCCTTCCTTTTAGTGCCTATGAAAGAAACAGCTCTTCACAACATCATGTGTTTGTGTGTGGTGTGACCTGGCAGTCACACAGCTCAATGTCACCAGGACCATTTGCAAGTTGAATGACGGTAATACAAAGGGGAGGAGGTGCTTGCCACCCCCGGAGTATCATTCCATCCCTCCTGCCTCTCTGTTTGGGAGCAAGGCCAGTAGACTAGTGTTGGAGAAGTCTCTCCAAGTCTGTGGACCAACAATAAATCACAGGGTCTATGAAGCAGCCTGGTCGATTGTAAGCCTCAGCTCTGCCTGCCGCCCCCTGAACTCTCGTTGCCTCCTTCCTGAGGTCATTCCGAAGTCACCATCCCAGCTGAAGCACCGACAGACAATGGTGAGCATAGAAAAGTTAGGCAAGGACGTGTTCTTCAGGGTTTAAAGGATAAAAAGATCTGCTTCCAATGCCACTGTAACCCACACAACACCCACAGGAAGCTGCCTGGAATTGCAATGCTGGGCAGAATGAATTGACACGATTGATGGATTTCAGAAGAAAACAGTTTGTACGTTTATCGTCGTATTGAACAAGTGGATTTGAGGTTCAGCTGCTGCATTTCATTTTGTAATCATTTTCAGTCACTTCAGTTTGTTGCGCTGAAAAATGGATCTTCAACAAACTGCTTGCTGCTATTTATTAATCATTTTGGTGAAGTTCTGTAGGAGGAGGGACGTGACAGTATTGAAGAAGGATAGAAAGGAGTGGTGGTGGCGGGGGGGTGTGGGGGCGAGGGGCACGAGGACTAAAAAGGAGGGAGTTCCACGAGGTTGGAGTTGACATCTGGGATGTTGATGGAATGAATGTGTAGCAATGTACTCAGTTTGGTTAATTGTGTGATTTGAAATCTTGCTGTTACACAGAACTGTACGTTAGTCGTGTAGAACCTTTTGGGCACAACCAGAAAATCTGGAAGCTGGTTCCTCCTCTTCACAACCTAATGCCCTCAAATAGCCTATTGATTCGTCCCCATGATAGATATCTCCCCCGACACTGGGCAAACTGCAAACTCTGCTCTTATTTATAAATCTACCAACAGAATCCAATTAGAACAATTTCCAACAGACTCCTTTCCCTCTGCTGTTTTCAGCCATGTACTTTACAAAGCTCTTTAATAACCCCCTGGGCTCGGGCTCACAATCTGCTAACACCAGCCTCGCTAGATTCACTGACTGAATCAAAAATAATAATAATCATCCTTGCATTTGATATAGCGCCTTATCACCTCTTCGAGAGTCTCAAAGCGCTTCACAGAATATACTGTAAAGTGAATTGACTATATTTTGTGGTGAAAAGCGGCAAGCAATGGCACACAGCAGCGTCCCACAAACAGTCGTGGATTGAGTGACCAAATTCGTTTTTTTTGATGGAATTATTTATTCAGCTTCTTGTAGGACTGAGCTGGGCAGACTAGAAGGGTCTAGGTTTGAATCACGGGTGAAAGAGCCTTTCGGCTTATTTGATCATATCCTTCCAGAATACCCACTCTACCACCCTCCCATTATAGCATCAAATTCAACCTATTTAATTGGTAGCACTCTTGCCTCTGAGTCAGAAGATTGTGTGTTCAAGCCCCATGTCAGGACTTGAACTCACATAGTCTAAGCTGACACTCCAATGCCATGCCTGGGGATTGTTGGAGATGCTGTCCTTCAGATGAGACATTAAACCGAGGCCCATCTGCCTGTTCAGGGGGAGCTTAAAGATCCCATGGCATTGTTCGAAAAGAGTAGGGAGTTTCTCCCCCACGGTCGTGACAATAATCCCCCAAATAAAAACTGGTAACATACCCCACAGCTGTTTGTGGGACATTGCTGTGTCCAATTAGCTCTCGCGTTCACCCGCAAAGCACACAGGTACTACACTTCATAGTATATCCTGTGAAGCACTTTGAGCCATTCTCCCTGGGTGCTATGTCAAATTGTAAGCAATATTATTATTATCCTGGCCTCAATCACCTTTCCTGATAACTGGCTGATCTCTGGTTTGTGCTCCATTCCATCTCTCCCGCAATCTGGAGGATGTTAGCTTTGTGTTCCTTAACCAGCCTACCTTACTTTCTCTGCCAGTTCTTTAAAGCCCCGGTGGTTTCTGAACTGCAGCTGTCAGAACTTCAACCAGAGGACTCAAAATAATCAGCTCTCCTGCTGTGCTGAACATGGCCACTCGGTGGCGAGTCAACACCTGCCAACTGCTTTCTCCATTGAAAGGCACTGGAGGCAGCAGCAGGTACAAAAGCTCAGGTGGATGAACATCTGCGTTCAGTTTGAACAGAATCAGCACCTGATCGGAACCTGCACTTTTGGGGACTGGAAAAACCGAGTTGACGCACTGGCGTATCCTCTTTGGTTAAATTTGAACCTGTTACTCAGCAGGCGCAGACCCTCCGCCTCGCCCCCTCCCTACTCAGTCACCTGCCGTAGCTGCGTCCGCCAACCCATCAAGTGTTGTCATTTTGCAACAGAATTCACATCGCACCCGAGTCTTCACGTTCCTGAGGCAGGGTCATGTTCAAAAGATGAACTTCATTTAACAAAAACACTTCCATGATAATAATGGTAACACTTCAACTATCCATCCCACCCCACATCTCTCCCATGACCCGCTCTGCCTTCCCCCACCTCTGCAATGTCGCCCGGCTCCGCCACTGTCTCACACCGCAGGCCGCCGAAACCCTCATACGCTTTCATTACATCGAGGCTCGAATACGCAAACTCCCTGCTTGTCGGCCTCCCCAACTTCTCCCTCCACAGGCTGCAGATCATCCAGAACTCTGCAGCCCGTGTCCTCTCCCGCACCAGGCTCCACGACCCTATCACCCCCATCCTCGCCCAACTCCACTGGCTTCCCATCACACAGAGGATACAGTTCAAGATCCTGGTTCTCACCTTCAAAGCCCCCATGGCTTTGCTCCCCCCCACCTCTGCGACCTCCTAAGCCCCTACCATCCTGCTCGCTCT